ATAAAATTTTTTTTTTTGGTATTTTTTAAAATCCTTTGTTCAGATTTGAGATATTAATATGATAAATGAGACTACCAAATTTTATCTAAATCCATTAAAACCTGTTAATGTTATTTTCTAAACAAAAAAGGGATCCACACACACACATACATACATCCGGACAATTGATCAGGATCTCATATAACATGTTTCTATATAGAGAAAAATTTGTTTCCGACACTTTGAAAATTTTTATAAACGAAAGGACTAAAAAGCTTTCTCCACGAGGAAACAAAACAAACAAAGATTGTTTGAACGATCTCGCGTTCAAAGAACATGTAATTTTCGTACCGGGAAAATTAAAGTTTGCTAAAAGAAACTTTTTTTTCTCAAGAGTTTTCAAGAGCAAACATTTATCAGCGAAAAAACACTTTCATTCTAAAGTAAATCGAGCCAAAAAATTATCATCGCTCCTAGCAAAACTTATTCCTTTTCTAACACTAGAATTAAAAAAGTTTTCGTTCAAGAAACCCCATTTCAGGATCGAAAGTTTTCAACTGAAAAATACTATAAAGCAATTGCCGATATATATATATTTAAAAAAAGAAAACCATCAGAAAAGTTTAATTCAAAATTGATTATCAATTTTTGTTAAAAGTCAGTATGGTTTTTAAAATCGGGTTTATTATTTTTATTAGTTTTATTATTATAATTATTTACTATTTCTTTTTAAACGAATTTTTATTTAATAGAATTATCAAAGAGACGAATTTTTATTTGTCCGAAATAGAAAATAGCCGAACACGCAATCGGCAGAATGATTTCGGCGCGATTTTTAAAATTGACTAATCAGAACAATTGTTAAGAAAATTGTGATTGGTGAATTTTAAAAATAGCGCCGTAATCTTTCTGCCGATTGCGTGTTAGGCTATTTTCAATTTCGGATAAATAAAAATTCGGCTGTTTAAGAATTCTGTTTAATAAAAATGCGTTTAAAAAAAAATCCTATCAAATTTTAATTCGGAAAATAATTATTCGTTAATAAAATTATTTAAAATGAAAATTCAAATTGATTTTTATGGGATAATCATGCAGTGCTAAAATTTTGTGTAGGCGTTTATTATTATTTAATTACCACTGTAGAATTATATTTATAACATATACACTGTTTAACGGAATTGGAAAATGGTTTTAATCAGTGAAAAACACTAATTACTGTAAATCTTAAGAAATCTGTGGACCTTTCTGCTTGAGTTGAAATTAAATCTTAATTTTCAAAGATTGAAGACGGTTGCAGAAGGATTTAATGTCCTTTTTACGTGAGTGCCTTTGCCAGATGACCAAGTGGTAAGCACGGTGTAAAAGTAAAATCTCATTTTGTCGAAGGGCGCTGGGGATACAATTACATCGAGTTTGCAGGGCTTTACGAGCTTTGCCAATACGACGGGAACCAAGACAATAGGGTCGTATATGTGGGAAGGAAGGAGAAACCAGTAAATTACGTCTCTTCGTCCTTTACTGATCCGCGGTGGGCTTAAGATGGCACAATGTCTGAAAATGGAATTGATCTAGATACCTTTTTTTTTTTGTTGTTGTCTCATCTTTGTTCACGTTTTTTTTTGATTCTTTTTTCGTTTTGTTTCTCGCACCTTTCGTTCGATTTTTCTTTTCTCCTCTAACTTACTATACTCTCTTTTCATCTTGGCAGGGGAGCTTTAGAGATCTCACTCTCTTTTTTTATATATATATATATATATAGGATAGCAACCAGGTAAATGGAATAGATCCAAGAAATGGTCGATTTACGAACCAGAAGGAATGGTTCGATCCTGCTTTCCATTATATACGTTTCGACTTTTGATAGTGTGAAAGCTTTCGATTCTCTGCCTGATATCGACTTTATATTGTCTGCAAAGGATTTTTGTAACTTTGAGGAAATTCCACTATAGCTTGATTTGTTTAAGATAGTGTCAAGATCTTTTTTTTTGTAAGATAATTCGAAATTTATTGTTTTTGATGGAATAGTAAAAAAAAAAGAAGTAAAAAGTTAAGAAATCAGAAAACTTATTTTTGTAGACATTTGCACTGGACACTTGGAATAAATTTCTTTTCACGTTGCGCAAGAGGGCGTAAAAATGTAAAAAAGGAAAATTCACCTCTCTGATGAAGCTGTCAGCTGTTCTCGAGAGTTTCTAAAAGGCAAAACTTGAAGGTATAAGGGATGCTTATTTTTCTGTTTTTAAATTTTGTAAAATGAGAGAAGCCATATAATCTTAACGGGTTGTATTATACCTTTTTTTTCCTTCTTTTTGGGACTCGAAAATTTCTTTTATTTTATTATGCACTTTACGCTGCTTAGAGGAGTTTTGCAAAGGCGTTCCCCGACCACCCCAATTCTCGTACCTTCTCGGTGTGAAATGTATTTACGTGAAGAGAGAAGGAGAGAGAGAGAGAGAGTAGGTTTCCTTGGGTCAAAGCATTCGGGGTTGATGGGGAGGAGTTTGATGGCGCCCGCACGTCTACCGTGCGCTCCTGCTCTACGGTCGAAGGAACCTTGCATCAAGTCCGGGACTCCACCGTTTCCAAGGAACCTGTATATTCAGTATTGCTATTGCAGTGTAGCAACATTTTCCTATATACGCGTTCGTTATAACTGAAATCGAGGGAAAAAAAGACAATAAAAGAGAGAAACGAAATCGAAAAAAAAAATGGGGAAAAGGTGAATGAACTTTTTGAAAAAGGTTGCAAAAAAAAAAAAAATTTATGTATATGTATGTAGGTCATGTGGTATATATTCAGACAAATGGCCATATAAAACTATAGTGGAAAATGTCTAGAATTTTTGTGCATAAAAGTTGTCCATAAAAACGGTGTATGTTCTTCTGTACATATATAGAGAGAGAGAGATCAAGTGACTGGCATTCTAAATTTCTCAAGAATCAAAAATTTCGTTTTGTAATGTAAAATATGTTAATTTAGTCTTGAAATGATATAACAGATGAGTTTCTAACTATTCCACAGGTTTTCCTGCGAATCTAATACATTTATACTCAATTTTAATTTTTAGATTCCAGAAACAAAATTTCACTTCGGCTCTCTATTTTTCTCTCCACTCGTTGAAAAAAAATTTTTTATTTCCTTTTCAACATGAAATTAAAATGACTTCCATTGGGAAATATCGGGGATGTTCCTCGTAGAATAGAGATTATCATTTCAATTTCCTTCTTGTCAGTCTCGACACATTTCCTCATCAAGATTTTTTTTTTTTTCAACCGTCATCTATATTCAATATTGGAATTCATATAACCTGATGTAAAAAATCGTCTCACGTAGTTCACACACTTTAGGGATGCAGGTGCAAGTGTTGTGTATATGTATACTATATATACATAGGAATCCCTAACACGTGAGAGTCGTTTTCATCGAAATTACCCGAACATCTCCCAACACCATTGAATTCGCATAATCTTCCGACTGTGACCCCCACTGGGATATCTTCATTTCAGATTTGGGTCTCGACTAAATTCCTACCTTAAATGCGAGTAGCGGCTGTATTGACATTAATGGATATTTCCCATGAGTTCTCTCTCTCACTCTCTCTCTCTCACTCTCTATTGCTGCGTTAAATCGCGCATGATATCGTGAATAGGAAATTATCTACCTTTGAATATAGAGAAATTTCCTGATCATATATGAAAATGATATACAAATGGACGTAACAAACGTAAATTTAATTCGGAGATAATTTTACGAATGCAAAATATGACTAAATTATTTATGATATGCGCGAAATTATTTTCGTTTAATATTTTTTTTTTTAGTGGAAAATAATTTATGAGTTAAATGTAGAAAAGAGAAAATAGAAAAATGACGTTTTGATGATTTTTTAGGGTTTTGTGGCTCAGGGTCGAAACTATAGCAAACGTTTCCATAGCAACGGTTTCCATAGTAACTGTTTGCATAGTAGCTGTTTCTATAGTAACTGTTTCCATAGCAACGGTTTCCAAAGTAACTGTTTCCATAGTAACTAACTGTTACCATAGTAACTTTTGCTATAGTAACTTTTGCCATAGTAACTAACTGTTACCAGAGTAACTTCTGCCATAGTAACTTTTGCCATAGTAACTTTTGCCATAGTAACTGTTTCCATAGTAACTGTTTCCATAGTAATTGTTTCCATAGCAACTGTTTCCATAGTAACTGTTTCTTCTGCCATAGTAACTTTTGCCATAGTAACTGTTTCCATAGTAACTGTTTCCATAGTAATTGTTTCCATAGCAACTGTTTCCATAGTAACTGTTTCTTCTGCCATAGTAACTTTTGCCATAGTAACTGTTTCCATAGTAACTTTTGCCATAGTAACTAACTGTTACCATAGTAACTTCTGCCATAGTAACTTTTGCCATAGTAACTGTTTCCATAGTAACTGTTTCCATAGTAACTTTTGCTATAGTAACTTTTGCCATAGTAACTAACTGTTACCATAGTAACTTCTGCCATAGTAACTTTTGACATAGTAACTTTTGCCATAGTAACTGTTTCCATAGTAACTGTTTCCATAGTAATTGTTTCCATAGCAACTGTTTCCATAGTAACTGTTTCCATAGTAACTTTTGCTATAGTAACTTTTGCCATAGTAACTAACTGTTACCAGAGTAACTTCTGCCATAGTAACTTTTGCCATAGTAACTTTTGCCATAGTAACTGTTTCCATAGTAACTGTTTCCATAGTAATTGTTTCCATAGCAACTGTTTCTATAACAACTGTTTGCATAGCAACTATTAAAGTAATAGTTGCTATGGAAACCATTGCTATGGAAACAGTTGTTATGGAAATGGTTGATATAGTAATAGTTTCCATGGTAACGGTTGCTATGGAAACGGCTGTAATGGTTTACAATTATGATTAATATAACAAAGCCACGTAACCCTTTAATGAAGACACTGTTCACCTTGTTTATTAAATTAATTTTTATTATTGATCTAAATTTTTATAATTTTTTTCTTTGTTTTTGTTTCAGGTAGTGAACGTTTTGAGTGTGACAAGATTAGGAACGAAGGAAGATCGCAGCCGCGTCTCCGATAACCTATGTTGTGCGGAGAACTTTTGAACGGCGGCCTCGTGAGTGCAGGTGCAGTACCTTTAGTGCCCTGCAGTTTCCTTGGACCTTGGCTTCCAGGTTTTCTGCGAGCCACCAGTCCAGGATCACTCACATCTCCGTATTTGACATTGTTGGCCGAATTGATAATATCAAATTCATTTGAAGAGGAAGAGGAGGATATTTGTGAATTGAAAAAAAATCAAATGGACCTCACCACAAAAAATCATCTTCCAAATGGTTCTGTCAATCTTGATTTGGATCTTGATATCCACGATATTGACGAAGACGTTCTTCTCGGTGAGTTTTAATTTTCTATTTAACAATAAAAAATTATTTTCTATATATTATTGAAATAAAAAAAGGTTGGTTAATGATGTGCTTAAAAATGAAATTTATTTTTTTTGTTCTTGAAATTAATTTTTGATAAATTTATTTCATTAATTTGAATATAACATTGTGGCGTATAGTAAACAATAAAATATAGTGATGTTACTAAAAACAAAGATTCATATCTAACGACTGTTTGGAGAAATTGTCCATGGCCTCTGAACAAAACAGAAGTCTGGCATTGGTCCAAATTTTGGCTCTCTTGGTTTGTTCTTCTCAACATTCCCAGTAGAGCTGTGTGGGCCGCTCTCTCTCTTTCTCTCTCTCTTCGCGAAATAATGGAGAGCGTTAACAATCTTTGCGGCTGTTTATCAAGATTTAGTCTCACAACTGGACCGCGGGGGTGCCATTAGTTCGCGCCACGTAGACTGAAAATTCGTCGAGATTCTATCTTACGACAACACGAATTAAAGGGGCTTTTATTATTGACTCTCTCTCTCTCTATCTCTCACAGTGTAGGTGTCCAAGCGTACAATAATCATCTTCATAAAACATTATCTATCAATTTCATTTTTAACTTTATTTCAATCTCATTTTGTCATATAACAATTTTGTGCTTTAATTATTAATTTTTTTTTTGCTTTTATTTCTTAATTATAATTATATATATACTCGAGAGGAGAAATTCATCAGCTTCTATTTATTTTGTAGTCTCTTCAACAAAAGTTTAAATACTGAGGAAATTGTTTAACTTGAGAAAATTTCTGAGTTTCACTTAACTTACACTTTGCTTATAAAGTAAATATTTTAATTGCTTTATATTATTTCTTGATTGTATCTTTCATTAAAGTTTGTAAGAATTTTAATAATGTAGCAAAATTCAGTAGAGTGGCAAATTTTTAATTAAATTATTACAATGCAATTGTATAATTAATTACTATTTGTTATTTTAGAGATAAAGTAATAGAAAATTATTTGTTTATATTTATACAAATTAGAATATTATTTTCTATTGATGTTTTTAAAAAATCAAAAATGGTTTAACTTTGAAATTTTTTGAAAGTCTTTTTATCAGTTGAAACTTGTGTTTTTCATTATATTAGGATTATTGTTTTTTTGATTCTCATGCGCATCATTTATCAACAAATATTTTGTTTTAAATATTAATAAATTATAATAAATAAATATCAATATGAATTTTATAACTATTAAAAATTAATACTTAATTTAAAAATTAAATTAATAGTTAATAATTATAATTAATAAATAATTGTCATTAATAATTATTAGTGAGAATTATTTATTTGTTGTAAATATAATTGAAAATCATTTTCACATTCATTTTTTAATTTTTGTTTTTCTCTTTTCATTTCAGGTCAAAAATTGGGTAAGTAATCATTCAAGCCGATTACATCATTATATTGTAAGTTTGCACAAAATTTATACATTTTCACTTTATAACTCTGATATGTACCAAAAAACATTTATATATTTTTGGGAGGGAAAATGAATATTATTTAACGAATTTATTTACAAGACCATCTTTTTTTTTTGTTGACTCGTTCTTATATTCAGTTACCCATCGCATTTTTGAAATTGTAAGGAATATAACGTAGAAAACTTATAGAAAATAGAACCCGACAGCTCTATATAATATCGAAAAACTATATTCGTCTCGTAATAAAACATAAAATTTTTTATGATTTTCACGTCACATATATAGGGAATAGATATTTTAGTCATCCAACATAGATCTTTACAGTTTTTCATATTTTTGACATTTGTTATATCCACTTTTTATTTATTTTTACAGTGAGTATTATATAGAACTTTTTTTTTTTTTACTACTTTATTTTTTTTTTTATTTCATATTTTACAATATGAAAGTGCTTTGAAATTTATTTTTATAACTTCTGCTAAAAGTTTTATATATTCTTTTTTCTAAATTAAATATTAAAATGGTTAACTAAGAATACGTTCTTTCAAATGTATATAGAGAAATTCGAAAAAATATTGCAAATTTAAAAGATTCCAACTTTATTTTTATCGAATGATGAGAGACGTGTTTTATTGATTTATATTTTCTATTTTTATTTTATGGGCAAAACGGAATCATTTTTCATGTTTCTCTCCATTTATGGTAAACAAGTCTGTATTTCAAAATATTTTTTTTATTACATCTTTCAAATTAACTTTGTCATTTGTAAAATAAAAGTAAATAAAATTTAGATAGAATTTTGTTAAAAATTAAATAACTTTTTTAAATTTAAATATTTTGTAAAAAAAATTGTTGAATTCAATTTAACTTTATTTATTAAATTAGAAAAAAATTATTTTATATTATTTTTTTATATTATTTCTTTAAAATTAATTTTATAACGAAAGGAAAGCAAGAGATAATATTTTATTTGAACCTCTTTCAATTTAATTTAAACTGGTAAAAAAAATTTTTTTTTTTTTTTTTTATTATTTTCACCAAAGGATTGAAACTTGATTTAACGACATAAACCAATGAAAGAAACGTTATCTTTTAGTGAAACTCGTTTTTCGTGAGAGTCGTCGTTCTTTGCAGCGGTCAAGCGAAAATCTCGAGTGAACCCCAAGTTCTTCTTTTTTTTTTTTCTTACTCTCACTCTTTCTCTTTTTGCTCCTTCTTCAAGCTTTTCCTTCAGAGGATCCTCCCCTATTTCGGATCTTAATAAATCGACCTCAGTTCGTTCTTACCTCTGTAAACCGAGTGTTGCTAGAAAAAGTCCGATCAAAAGAAAAATGGAGTCCCACGATACTAGCCCTTCATTACTTTTCTCAATCGGAGTCTCCATAAACTTTTAATCCCTAGTCACTTTTCTTGTAACGTCTCGTCTTTCTCTCTCTTTCGAAGCTTCATGTTTTTGTAAACTGTTTTCATTTAAAAAAAAAAAAAAAAAAAATTGTCTTTAAAAATATACTGAAAAAATTATTTTGAATAATGCTACAGTAAAGTAAATTATTATTTTTTATAGATTTATTAATTGAAAAAATAAATAAAAAAATTATTTTAAATTATCTTTCAAGTAATTTATTTATTAGCTAATAATTAATTACTTCAATATTTACCTTTATATGTGAAAAGTTTGTAAGCTATAAAATGTAATGTAGGTAAATTTTGGAAAATTATTTTTTATTATTCAAATTAAAGTACTTTCTGAGTATATATAGGGATTAATATTGCAAATCAATATACATATACATATGCTCTTCAATGTGAATATTTCAGTAAAATATTTTCTGCTTTGTGAATTCGATTTTTTTTTTTTTTTTATTTTTTATTAAAAAGGTTTCAATTTAAGTTGTAATCCGGTGATATGTTCCAGTGCAAAGCTGACATGATTCTATTTCCATTTTTATTCTGCTTCTGTTCACAATACGAATTTTCCGCATGATTGATAAAATTGAAGTGCTACTATATGTATCAAAATACTCCAATTATAACTTTTCGTTTGACACAATTCAAAAAAATATTTTTGTACTTCAAAATAAAACTCTAATAAAAAAATATGATACTCTTTTGGTAGAATATTAAATTCTCATTTTGAGGGTAGAGAATAAAATGCGGGGTATTTAATTCTTAAATAAAGGATAAAATTTATTTAGAATTAATTTTTTTTGAAAATTTCTTTTTGAAAATTTCTTTTCGAAAATTGAGTTTTTGAAAATAATTTTTTCTTTTTGATATTTGAGTGTAATATATGAGTTTCATCGAAAGTTGCAAACTCCTCTCTTCTCGAGAGTAGAATTTAAGGCAGATTTACATCGCTTCTGATGTCGGGTGGTAGTTGTCGTTCATGTTGAGCACTTTGTGAGTTGAGTGCTAAGTTTGTAAAATTAAATCGTCCCGCTGCTTATGTCTCGTAAAACTTCATCTCTTTTATATTCCAAACTCTCTCATCTTCAATTTTCATCTTAAAATATGATATACGTGACTGAAATCAATATTATCACTTTTATCATTATTCTCGATATTGGAATCTGAATCTTCATTTTTCTCTCGCATGTATTAATAATTAATTTTTTCAATTTTTAATTTGAAATAATCGAAAATTATATAAATATAATTATATTATATTTTATATAATATTATAATAATATTTATATTTTCTTTTAAAAATGAGATTTTTGCGATGCTTTTCGATTACGTTAGTTTTTGATTATTTGGTATCTTATCGGCTCCTTTGTATTCTTCACCGTTGAATATTTGTGATTTCAAGATATGGCTGCGAGTATATAAACGTTTGCCAAATAAATATATAAAAATAAGATCGAAGTCTTATATCCGCGCTATATTCTATATTATTTACCACGCTAATAAATCATATTCTATATTTTATTTTGTTCTCGCGGCGCTTAAAACGCTGACAGTAAAACTCGTATTATAAGGCCGCAGTGACTCACGTCTCTGACCATATAATACTTGGAATGCTTTAATGGTTTCTGCTTTGTCAGCAATCGATGTTTGAGTTCTATTTTATGATTCCAGTTCTGAATTTATGATTTTTTTTAAATTACACCAAAGGCAAGACTAAATTCGAAAATGCTGTTGGTTTTTTTTTAATAATATTACTATTATTAATATAATAATTAATAATTAAAATTTTTTTTTGAATTTATTATTGGTTTTTATAGAAAAAGTCGATTGTGAAAAAAATGTTTTTTTTTGGGTGGTTTCCCAGTATATTTTGATATGTAAAAGAGATGGAATTTGTTTAAAAAGCAAAATTTATTTAATACTGATGGAATGTTTGACTGCTTCTCTGTCTTAACGCTTCTTTGTCACGTTTTTAATTACTTCCGCATCCTCGACTTGTCAGAATACTTGGTCTCTTTGTAAAATGAAACTATTTGCAATTAAGCGCATTCAGAAAATGTCCTCAGTCTTTATCCGTCCGATGAGTTCTTTTTTTCATTCACATTTTTTCCCCAGTATCTTTCTC